TGTTTTTAAGATTTCTTTGAACTGCTTTTGTGCTGACTCCACAGAGGCATTTGCCGAAGCCAGTCACGGTATAGGAACTTTGAGTTAACCTCTTATATCAAATGGATCTTTTCATTTAGAGACCAATAAATCTCAATCTCTAGCTACCTTTTGTAGCCTAAGCTCAATGAGACAAGGACTGAGGTTTATAATAAAGACCAGATAAAGTTTGCCTAAGTTATCCTCCCACCGCCTCATCCCTTTTCTAACCAATCTGAAAATTCCTCCATCCAACAAATAAAAGTTAGGAAAGTAGCAGCTTTTCCTCAGTGAGCAGAAGGTTGGAGATTTCTTTACCTTTTCACAGCAAGGCTGTTGACTGAAGTGTCTTTCCAAGCTCAGACATTGAAATGATTTATAGTTTTTCAACAAGTCATTATTTTGGTGTGTTGTGTAGGTGGGGCTGAGGCAATCTAATAATCAATGTAAGACTGGGGAAGAGGATTGTCTGTGACCAAGAGAAGAGTTAACACCAGAAACATGAAAGCCAGCCCGGTCTCCAGGGATGGAATTTGGGAAAGAGCCTGCACACGTCTGCTCCTAGACTATAAAGAAATACATTGTTAACAACAACAAAACAGACAATGCCCTGAGCTCTGCCTTGATTCAGAGCTGAGCTACTTTCAAGATTTTTTAGCAGCACTGTTCATTTTGATGGGGTTTCTGGGCCATTTGAAATTCAACCTTTAGCCAGCCTGCTCATTGGGGGTATGGTTACTACCCTTATGATTTACTACCCCTCCTCCTATATTTTCTTTATTTTCTGATGGCCCCCCATGGGGCTAATCTTTTTTTTCCCCTTTCTTTTATATTTTCCAGTTTTGTTCTTCCCACTAACGACTCAGTGTTTTTCCTGTTTCTACTGATCACTCATTTGCTTCCTTTCTCTCTTTCCTTCCTTAAGAGACAGAGGAAAATAAAAGGAATGGGAGGGGGATTTCCAAATGGTTTCTCTCTAAGTGTTATTAATTACTGCTACAAGGAAGGTGATTCTTAACTAATAACAAAGTTGTAAATTACCACTGACTTTCAAATATTTCTCCTTTGTCAGCTCTGATTGATTTGATTAATATTCCGCTCTTTGAAATAATTTTAGCCACACTTAACGATCAGCTTTATCCATGAAGCAAAGAGCAGACCGTCACCCCTGCACCAGGACCCTGTCCCTCTTGTTTTACTCCTCATGTGAAGTTTTGATTTCCATCTTGAGGCCTGATTTGGACTGGAAAGCAGTGCTGGAAAGGTTTACGGGCAGTTAAAACTGCAAGGATGGAGTGGACTGGCATATACCTGTGGATGTTTAGTGATTTATATGTAATTTTGGGAGCACTGTCAAGGAAATTAATCGTATTGAGAGAACCAAACAATATCATTTCCTAGGTCTCCTGAGCATGTTTTTCCCCCCTCCAGACTCATGGCTAAAGGAATGGGCCTTTAAAGGATTCCTAAATTCAAGATGCCCACCCAAACCAAGCCCGTCTCTCCTTATCCTCCTCCTTAACATTTCTATGAAAGAGCAAGCCTACTCTCTGCTCACCTATGAAAGATGGGGATTACTGGAGGGAGGGGGGAAGATGTCTGCATATGGGGGGCAGAGTCAAAGCTACTCCCAGGACAGGAGCACTGGGAAGACCTCACATTTTGGGGATGGGATTGTATTTTGCAAAGGTCTCTTTCCCTTCCACCATCATATCCAGAATGCAATTTTTGAAGCTATCAATACCCGCTGCCTCCAATACCTCTCGAGTTTTAATCTTAATTATATTATTAAGTGAAGTACTGTGCTGTCAGGGAATTGAACATGATTTATGACGTCTGCCTATTAAAGGATCGATTGTGAATATCGCTACTATCATCTATCAATATTCTTAGGCCTGGGGTATTTCTTGCTCCACGATTGTTATTTGTAATACCGAAATGATAGACTGCAGGAAGAGGCTATTTCTTCTTCGCAGGACTAGCTTTCCAGGTGCAGCAGGGAGTCGGTGTGGGGAGGCAGAAGACACTGCATGTTCCAACCACATCTCACACCCAGAGAGATTCTTAAGATTTATTTTTTAAAAATGTTAAAACCAGTGAAATCTTCCTTAGGTCTACTAGAAGAAAGAAAGCCAGAGTCGTTTTTAGGGAAAGAAGTAACCTCCGTAGTTCGATATTAGGGGGCAAGCCTTCTCCAGCTGCCAGGTGATTTGCAAGAAGACTAGAAAGAAAAAGCCAGTGACGAGGGGCCCCCTTTCTACAAAGATATCTAGATGGGGGCCGGTGGGGAGTGTTGGAGGGCAGACTATATATTTTTGGAGCAGATGCCCGGGCCCTCCCTAGCCCTTGGACTCGGAGGTGCCCAATTTCTGGGATTAATCAAAGCTCTCTACTCCAAGCCACCGCTGCAACGACACTTCCACCTGCTGCCTCCTCCTCTGCATAGGTGGAGGCGGGTGCGAAACACGCCTGGCTAAGCCTGGAGGAGCCTGAGCGCAGGCCTTTTGTCTCCAGACAGAACGCAGCGCCTGTTTTTATTTTTCCACCCTCTTGGGGCACAGCACTGGGTCAACGGCGAATCTCAGTCCCTGCTTTAGGGGGATGGGAGGAAGAGGCCGTGAATGCAGCAAAACTCGTGCTCTTGAGAGTGGCCTCTGACGGGAAGCTGGAGAAACCCTGCGGGGTGTGGTGCAGCCCGGGGCGGCCGGAGTGCTCAAAGGCCGCCAGGCCTGCTCCCTGCTGCTGCCCAGGGCGCGCACCAGGCCTCGGAGGCCAGAGACTCCTTCCTTTGCTGCCTCGGCCCTTGGAGTCTGTCAAGCGCTCCCTGGCACCGCGAGGGAGGCGCACTTCGCCTGGAGCACAAGTGAAGCGGCGACCCGGGAGGCGCACGAAGCGCGGGGCCGCAGGCCTGGCTGGGAGCCTGGCCTTGGTGCACCCAGCGTTCGCCATCCGCCAGGGCCAGGCCTTCGCGGCCTTCACTGCCCAGTCTATTTTCCTCTAGGGTTCCAGTGCGAAGAAGTGGGAATGCCACTGGAACCTGTTAGGCCTTCCCTCTGGCCGGCCACAGGGGACCGCAGGCAGGGACGGAGGATGCCTTGGCCAGGCTCCTGGCTGCCAGCAGCGCCCTGCCTCTCCTGGTCCGGAGATTGAGTTCGGGGGCAGAAACCTCTACCCCTTCACCCAACTTACGCACTTACCTACCTACCTACCTGCCTGCCTGCCTGCCTGCCCTATCCGGGACTCCCTGCTCCGAGGCCTACCTTGGGGACTATGACTTTGCTCTCCGATTTGGAGGCCCCCAGGGGTATGGCACAATGACTGGTACATAGTAAACACTCAATAAATGTTAGCTGTTGTAATCATGAGGCATATCAGGTCTCCTCCATGGGCATCTTAGTATCTCACCCAGGTTTATTACAGACCTAGTTACTGCACAGCTGGAGTCCCGAGGACCTCGACTAGTGCCCAGGGATTGGCCAGCTACCCCTGCCCCCTAGGAGTCCTGGAGCCATAGCCCTCCACCCTAAAATGGCTGTAGAACACTCAAGGCCTCGGCGGGTCTTCCCCTCACCCCCGGGTGTCTGTCCAGGCCCGGGCCACCCTGGGAGGAAGACACTGAAGCCCCCGAAGCAAATGTCAGGAGGTCCCTCTTGCACTCTGCCTAGGCCAGCGCCAGAACAGGGCAATTTCAGTTAGATAAGAACATCCTGGGACTGGGGGTGGTGGGTTGTCATTTAAAAACAAACCATTAAAAAGGGTCCCTTTTTAACAGTGTGTGTGTGTGTGTGTGTGTGTGTGTGTAACAGGGAGTGGAGATCAGGGGCAGGCCAAGGCAGGAGGAGCAATAGTAGATGAGTCAGAAGCAGCGGATGGACACCTTTTTCTTCCAGAAACAATTCTTTGGGTAAGCTTTTAATCGCCAGGCCAAAAGGAATGAGTTGTCGGAGACAGAGCCACCCAATACACGCACAACGCCGTGTAGCCTGGTTTTGTTTTTCGACCTTAAGTAAACACAACTGCGTCTTCCTGATCCTTCTTATTATCGGTGATCCTAAAAGTATTGTTATTTTGCCAACAACATCTTAGTTCTAGATGTCCCTCAGAGCTGGGCCGGAGCCACGCCCAGGACGGCGGTCACCTGCTGCGCTGAGGCTGGGACCTGGGGCCCTTCATCTCCGCTTCCCTCCTCCACCCCCCAGGCTGATGGGTTTTCTTGGATGTGGACCCCTTTAAAAATGACAAATGTCTTGTCAATACAAACCATCCATCCTCTCTTGCTTTCTCATCATTTTTCGGCGCCAGGAGGGACCCAGGCGCAGGCCCAGCGGCGCGTGTCCCGCGGCCCGCGTGGTACCGTAATCGCCAAAACCTTGGCCTAATTTGCAACTACTCTATGTCGAGCGAAGGAGTCGGCGAGAAATCAGTGGCCCAAGGAGCTAGATTTAAGCTTTGGAGGATCAGAAATTAAGAGACTGTAAGGAGGATGCGATTCACTGGATTCTCTCCTCTCCCCCTCCCACACGCGAGCCGAAGTCTGCCCGCTCGGCCTTCGGGGACGGGGACGCGGCCCTGATCTCTCCGCGGGCTGAGTCCCGGGGCTCGCCTCCGCGGCTCCGCGCCCCTGCGCCTGGGGCGCCCTCCGACTGGCTTCTCCCGGCCCCCGGGAGGAGGCGCTGGTGCCCGGGTCGGCCTCCCGTCCCTCCCAGCCGGCGTCCCGGAGCCCCCATTCACAAAGCCCGGCTCGGAGGAGGCGACACACACACACACACACACACACACACACACACACACACAGACACGGCGAAGAGGGGAGTTTGATCTTGTCTCATTGGCGTCTCGGGCCTGAAAGGAAAATCGTTTGGGTAAACAGCCAAGCTTCCAGGCTTAACGCCCGGCTCCCGCCCCCGCCCCTCCGCCCCCTCCCGCCTCCCCCACTCCCCTTCAACCCCACCCGCCACCCGCACTCCGCTCCGCCGCCGGGCCCCGAGCGAGCTCCGCGCGCCCGGGCGGGAGCCGAGGGCTCCCCGGGTTCAAAGGGCGGCGCAGCCCCGAGGGAATGCCCTCCTCGCTGTGCCCCGGGGGGCAGAAGCGGACTGCAGGGCGGTGGGACCGGCCTGGGCCACGGTAGGAACCGCGAAACCTCCCGCTTCCCTAGGTAGGGAGAGCTGGCCCCGGGGGAGGGCGCCGGGGAGATCCGAGCCCGGAGGGACCTTGCGCCAGGACCCAGCCGAGGGCCGAGGCCGAGCCTGGGCCGCGCGCTGCGCCTCGGCGCTCCGCCACGGCCCCCGCGGGGCAGCCTGGCCCCCCGGGCTGTCACAGGCGTGTGTTCGTGTGTGGCACGACCGCGGGCGGGCGCCGTGAGCCTCTGCGGGCCGCGCTGCGCTCCGCACCCCTTGGGCGATCACCGGGCCCCCACCTCCCTCCGAGCGGCCTCCAGGAAAAACCTTTAATCAGATATTAAGCGTTTTCCGAAGTTTGATTCATTCCAAAGGACAGTTCTTCAGCTAACTGGCTGTAAACATGATTAATAGTCATTAACATGCAAAAATGGAAAAAAAAAACCCTCTGTGGTGTTTGAAAGGATATGGGTCTCTCTCTAGCTCACTCTCAAACCTGGAGAGAACACTGAAATAGGAAAATATCCTGATCAGATTATTAGACCTGATTCTACAGTGGTTCCCCTCCCCCCTTTCACTAATGAAATTCCTCTCTCTTCTCCCTTTCTGTCTCCTGTTCTCGCTCTCTTTCTCCTTCTCCCAGTCTCAATCTCGCTCTAATCCAGGAGTCATTAGCAACACCCTCTGGCTACATGTTTTGCATCAGTGAAACATTGTGACACAGTTGTAATACAAACTCTGCCGCCTTGCACTGCATCTTGCGGTAGGAAGTGTAATAGCAATAAAAATCATTTTTCATCTCCCGGCATTATTCGGTGAAAAAAAAAAAACCCAGAAAATCTGAATGTGAGAAGAGGAGGGGTGGAGGAGAGAGAAATGAAGGGAGGTAAAGAAGAAGGGAGCGAAGGAGAGAGGAAGAAAGAGGGGCAAACCTTTCTAATTTAGAGACTCCCCTTCTCCAAACCGTAGGCAGGTAGATTCAAGTATTTCATGTTCTAATGCTCTACTTTCTTCTTTTTGGGTCCGTGTTCCTCACTGTTTTCCCTCAGTGGATCCCAGGACCCTCCCAGCAACTGCCTCTTAGCTCCCAAGATCTCTCAGCAGCTTCCTTCTCCCCAAGGTAGCATTCCTCCAGGCAAAGAAAACCTCTAGACTCCTCAGCTAGCCAGGGTGAGGGATCCTCAGTCAGGTCCTGCTAAGAAATGGGGGCCTCTTTCCTGTATGGTCTATTAAGAATCTTTCCTAGCCTGGTGGAGAAGGGACAAATAATCAGAAAACCAAGTTGGGTTTTTTGTTTGTTTGTTTTTGTTTTTTGTTTCCTGGCACAGCCCTGTAGGTTTTGAGCAAGGGTGGGGGGCTCTCTGAGAGTTTCTGAATCTGCAATGAGGAGTGTTGGTTACTGGGACGAAGGAGCACTCCCTCCATCAAAAACCATTCTGTGAATTTAGCGAGGGCAAAGATTCAAAAAAGAGTCTATACGTTGGGTTTGCTCAAGCAGGAAAATGCAGAGGCTTATACATTAGCACATATATACACTCTTCCCAATGTCCATGGTTCCCAGTTCAGTCATCATTATACGTGGGATCCACTGAGATCCTTAAAACAAAACCAAAAACAAACTTGTAGTTAAAGATACATTAGAAAAAGGACTATGCCCTGTCCCTCCCCCCCCAAAAAAAAACAAAGAAACGACACAAATTCCCCCAGGACCACAAGGTAGATGTTCTGCTTTTAACACCATGTCTGGAATCTTCACAGAAATAAAACTTGTTTTGTGAAATTTGTTTTTACCTGTAACATCTCTCTCTGGGATGGTGCACTTTGAAGACAAATTGAAGCAAAGATTCACCGTATAAGTGAATTAATTTTTCTGTATATATATTTTTTTTAGTTATGAGGGCTTGAGAGTGGGGCAAACCTCTCAGGTTGCCAACTGGATGAGATAGGGTCCCATGCAGTTGTAATTTGTACCCCTGGCGGTTGCTGCTTTCACCTGCCGACAGGTGCATATATTTAGGGGCTGCATTGTGTGGTGATTTTGTCAGCAGAGCCGAAGGCTGTGGGGTACTGAGGTTTAGGCTGGCCACTGGCATGGCATGGCAGGGCAGAGACACTCTAACGTCTGACTGACCAGAATGACGGAATTTGGGTGGAATGGTAATTGGATAGAGATGACTTCATAGGTCTCATTCGAAATATTTGCATCGGCCTCAGCTGGGTGGCCCGAACTCTGCAGCCCGAACCCAGGGCCTCCAAGAAGACGTCGCTCATTTATTCTATCTTTCCTAGCAAAGCAGCGTCACAGCTTAGACTTGGTGAAACTGTACCTATATATTTTCTCTTCCTCCTGCTCTTTTCCCTTCATCCCGGTGCAGACATCCTGCGATACGTCGGTCGCAGAGAATGGGTTTTAACCGATTGGAAGAAGGCCTGTGCATTTGGGCTTCTCTAAAGGTTCTGACGAAGGGAAAAGTCCGGTGACGGTCAAGTTAGGCTGCAGGAGGCCGGGAGCACGGCCGTGCAATTCCGGTTTCCGCAGCGAGGTGGCGCTCCAGGGCACGGCAGCGCACCAGCCGGCGGCCGCCGAGCGCGCCGGCCGCGTTCCCGCAGCGAGGCAGGGGCCGCCGGGCCGGTGCACGCGGGCTTCCTCTCGCCTCCGCACCCGGGGTCGGAGAGCGCCCGGAGCCTCCGGGCCAATCGGCCCGCAGGGTGGGCGAAGGTCTAAGGCCACGACCCGGGTCGGGGGGAGGCTGGCGGCGGCGGGGAACCACGACCCGCCGAGGCCGGCGCGCACTCCCGGCGCTGGGGCTCCGGGGCTCCGGGGCTCCGCGAAGTTCGCGGTCGCGGTGGGACCCGGGCGGGGCCGACGCGAGGTGCGGGGACCTCCGGGCCTCCGGGACCCGCGCGCCGGGCTTCGGCCTCTGCCCAGGTGGGGGAGGCCAGACCCCGACACGCCAGGGAGTCGCCCAGCCCCTCCGCCCCAAGGTCGGGAGACTTCGCTGCTTCTTTCTTTTTTTCTTGTTTTAAGAAACAAATAAATAAATAAGGGAAAGGAAATCTTATGCACTTGATCTTGCTTTGTCCTCCAAACTGGCAGTTCTCCTGTTTGCTTGGTTTTTCTTTTTCTTTCCCGTATTTTTCCTGTCCTTCCCTGCTCATTCTTTACTTTTCCCCCCTCCCTTTCTTTTTTCTTTTTTTTCCTTTTTCTTTCTTTCTTCCCCCCCCCCTACTTCTAAGAGACAGGTCTGTGTGAGTGGGTGGGAGAAGGAGAGAGAGCAAGGGGGTGGCACCGCCCTAGAGACCCAGCATTGGCAAACGGCAGCAAAATTGAAGAGGAAACTATTTTGATTTATTGAACACACTTCCATCCTTGCGATTTCGTTTCCACACTTCTGCCTTCCGTGGGTATCTAACAAGCTCTAGGTCAACGATGACGGGCAGGGAGTGCCTTCCACCAGGCCACACTCAACCTGTGGTCGTGGGGGCCCTTTGAAACCATTTTTGAAACGACAGAAGTAATAATAGGAATAGTCAAAATGAGCAGCATTCCCATTCTGTATGAATTTCCTCACGGGTTTGCAGCCCGGCTCTGGGCAGCGGGAGCACAGTGAGCAGCGCTTCAGTTAGGCTGGGCCCTCTTTCCAGCAGTTGGTACCATCGGAACGCCTTGACCAGTGAGCCACCACCCTCTGCAGCGGCCTTGGGCACCCGGCCTGGATGGTGGCAGCCGCTGGGAAGCTTTGCTGAGCCAGCACCCCACCGCCTACTCCCTACCAGCTGCACTTCTTTTAGCCGGTATTTCTGGCCACCTCACATTCCTTGAAGTTTTGTAGTATAAATGCAGGAATTTTCAGCCCAATTTAGAAGTCTACAGAAACTCAGAGGGTCAGGTCATTAGGAATGTTAACGTAGCGACCAAGAATTATAAACATGATCTGAAAGTCTCTTCCAATTCATTTCTTCAAGTATTTATTTGAGTTAAGTGATGAAAAGTGACAGTTGTGAAATAGACAGCTTTTAAAAGTAATGAAGTCAGATGAGGCTTTAACCTGTCGATTGCTATAAATCAACTTTGAAAAAGACGAATGAAGAATATTATTTGGGCGCCCAACATTTGCTGTGCGGGTAGGGGGTCCTGGAGTTGGCCTGCGAGAACCTGGGACTGGAGGTACCCCCAAAGGCCTTGCGCCAGGAGCATGGCCCTAGGGTGATGGAGCCAGCCTGAGACCCGCACTGTCTGAAGTGACATTTTGTTGGGGGTGGGTCCTCATTTCTGCTGAGACTTCCACTGTGGATTTGGGACATCCTAGTATGTCTGCGCAGGTAACCCAGCCTTCACTACAGTTGGAAATTCAGGGAACTGAATGCCACCATGTAAATGGGCCCTTAGCCTGGGTCCCCAGACGGCTGAGGGTGTCCGCCTTTTTCCTCCAGTCTGGCGGGGAAGGGACAGGGCTGAATGACGCAGATTGACCTTACTAACTCTGGAAATGATGGTGGCAGAGGTAGGGGCTGGGGGGAAGTGAGGAAGATGAACAGGAAATCATCTTTCCCTGAGGTTCTGGGTGTGTGTGTGTGGGGGTGGCGTTTGGCTCTCCATGACCTCAAATGGTCCTAATCTGGGAGGAAACTTAATGAAGGAGGGGAACCGGGAAACTTAATGAAGGAGGTCTCCAAATGGGGAAAGAGGATCTCAATTCTGCATCTGCCCCAGTCAGAATCCAGATAGGGTTTCTGGAGGATGAACTGGTGGGGTGCTTTAAAATAAATTTTACAGGCTTTCTTGTAGATCTCATTTCCCCTCAACTGCAATTTTCATCATAGCTGGACTTGGGGCATGGCCCCCTTCCCAGTGACTTCAACCCGGTGTCCCCATCCCATCCCAAATCTGAGCAGGAGGACACGCGCCCCACCCCCCCTCCTCGGTGTCTGGCCTTCTCGGTCTGCCGTCTCTCTTTCCCTCAAGGCTTCCAAAGGTGGGGAGGGTACAGAGGTTTTCTCCTCTCT